ACTTAACCGTTAAAAAAATAATATACATATGTACTATCTAATAAAAACGGTACGATTATTTGAGCGAATCGTGTGTAGCTATTTGTATTTCATCATTGGGTTTAAGTAAAATATCAGTTTTTGGTACTTACCCATATGATAAGTTACGTGTTATAATATTAGCATAGAATGCACACATTTATTTATCTAACTACTTGTAGTTTTCATTAATAATTATTTATATTTTTCGACCACTTACATATTCCAAGAATAGTGATTTTTTTTTAGTTAATTATAGTGACAAAATTAACATATGACAGCAAATTACTGTACTAGGGTCAAGCAAATGACATTTAGGGCTTGACCTCGTCAAAATTATTGTCGACTGTTTGACGCAATTTTTTTTGCGATCTTACGGTATTTTTAATTAATAGTTCGTACATATTATAGTCTTATCAGTTCTTGTGATTCTAGCTAGATTTCTGAGAAGGAATTTCTGCTTATCTGTTAAGATTTTTATTAGACCGTTCACAGCCACATAATCCTTATGTAATTTTAGTGAGACGATTTTCAATGCTGAATTGAGGAAAATAACAGCACACGTATTTGAATTGGAAAAAAATCTTGTTTGAACATAGATAAGTTTGATAAGAGTATTATTGGTGTAAAGCACAATAATAGTAAAATAACTTTGAAACCACTCACTATGAAGTTTCTAGGAAATGGGAGAAATAGAATTAAAGACTGTTCAGAGCCATATTTCACCGATATGTCATCGTTATTTGTCAAATAGGAGTTTTAGAGTGCGTCTGAGATTGGTTCATATTGTTTAGAAGACGACTGTGTAAATAATAATGTCTTAATTAACAAATTGCAATACTATGGATTCAGGGGAGTGCCGCTCGAATGGCTCAAGTCATATCTTGGCAACAGAAGGCTTACCAGGGTTTTAGTACTTGACCCTATTTTGTTTCTGGTGTTTATCAGCGACATTAGCGGTAAAATCTGCCTCTTTGCGAACGATACTAGTTTCACTCGGAGGGGCCCAGATGTTACGGCACTATATAATACTATATCCAGTGACTTACATCACTAAATTTAGGTGCGATTCTAATCTCCTATGCCCCAACCTATTAAAAACTAAAGTTTTGTCATATAAAAGTACTATACAACCTTTTGTACTTAATAACACCACTATTAACGTCGTGGACTCTATGAAATTCTTAGGACTTGTTGTAGACAACTCGTGAAAATGGACACATCGAAGCTTTATCAAAGAAACTAAGCGCTGCCTGTTTTGCGCTAAGATCAGTTTCTAAGGAACTGAACTTATCAACCTCTAGAATAGTCTATTATGCCCTTTTTGTGTCACATCTTCGTTATGCTCTTCCATTCTGGGGTACTTGCTGCGCGACAAAATTTGATCGTATTTTCAAACTTCAAAAGAGAGCAGTTCGATATTTATTGGGACTGAACAGTAGAACTCACTGCCAGAATTTCTTTAAAAGTTTCAAAATACTGACTCTTCCTTCTTTATTCATTTTTGAATCCGTTATTATTATACTATTACGCGAAAAGCAACTTTTTTTCAAAGCCTACCATGACTTCATTGAATCATCTCTCATTTACTTGTTCACTGTTACTAATGTCTTAATTATTAGATCTGGTATTATGGTATTCTGGTATTTCGTCGATTTTAAAATAAACTAACTGTTTCTATCTTATTTTTTTGTTAGAATGGGCATAATTAAGAGGGCTACTGATACCGTGTTGTCAAAATAAGGTAATTAAGTGCTTATTTTTTGGTATTTATTATAATTTTGCTAATATCTTCGGTTTGAAAGAAGATATCAAGATGCGGTTTTCGCAGAGTTTTTAAGCTTTACTATCAGCTAAAATTACATATACAGTAAAACCCCGGTTATCCGAGGTAACGTGGGGGACATCCTCCTCGGATAACCGAAAACTCGGATAATCCGGATTTATTAAAAAATAAGCACCAATACATACTTTAAACGGTTTATTAACATTTTTAACATGTAAATACATAAGTACCTACATATGTAGATACAATCTACATTATAAAACAGTGAAATAAGTATCTATGCGCTGCTGTTTCATATTGCATCTTCTTTTTCTCGCTGCCATGTTTCTCCATCTGTTAAGAAGAAGCAAATCTGTTGGGGTTGCCTCTGATTGTTGTTCGATATACTTCAGAGCTGTTTCCAGAGAAGCAAAACCTTGATGGGTAATCTTAGTGGCTTAAGGCTGTTCATCCACCTCTTCGTCATAGTTATCGTCATCTGATTTTTCGAAGAAAGACGTTCGCTGAGAAACGCATTCGCTATTTCTTCAATGTTCATTTCTTCTTCTAAATCATCTGCTGTAACCCATTCATCAACGTCTTGTCTTGTCACATTTTTGCAACCTTTCAAGTTTTGCATTAATTCTAATAAACTTTCTTCTTCTCCTCTCTCGTTTAAATTTGTACAGGACATTTCTCCGCGGCTTTTCCATTTCAAAGCCAATTCATTTAATGGAATATCATCTTCACTGTCATTATAGTCCTCAATATCAATAACTTTCGACCAAGATTTTTGAATAGTGGAACCGCGTACAGAATCCCAAGCTTGGCTTACCCAGTAAATAACATTTTTTAGTGTAATCTTTCTTATCCCAGTGATAATATCCTCTTTTTTTTCTGTGCATTCTAGTAGATGTTCAAGATATAAACGCCTATATTTTTTTTTATCTTTTCGAGGACGCCCTGGTCCATTGGTTGCATTATACTGGTTACATTTGGAGGAAAGAAATTTACAATTTCGCCCACGTGGAGTCCTCCAGGGTGAGAGGGGGCATTGTCCCCCCCAACAAAATTGCTTTAATAGGGAGGCTGGTTCTCTTCAAAAATTTAGTCACAGATGGCACGAACTCTTCTTTAAACCAGTTAGTAAATAACGTCGCATCCATCCATGCACTCTTCTGACTTTTGTAATAAACTGGTAGGGCTTTGGGTGAGATGACTTTTAACGCTCTTGGATGTGCAGACTTGCCAATCACCATAAGTGGAATTTTGTGATTATCAGATGCATTGGAACATGTCATTATGGTTAATCTTTCCTTACTTCTTTTGTGCCCAGGAGCTGATTTTTCCTGTCGAGATGCCAATGTTTTTGATGGAAGCATTTTATAATTCAAACCACTTTCGTCACAGTTATAAATTTGATCACATGTATACCTACAATATTTGATTAGCTTTTTAAAGTCCTGTTTAAATTTTTCAATTGATGACACATCAGCAGAAAGTTTTTCTCCATATATAGTCAGTTGTCGTACACCGTACCGTTTTTTCCAGCGGTCAAGCCATCCAGAACTGCCGGTAAACCTATCTGTCTCTGGAAATTGTTTACTAATCATTATTGCTTTCTGCTGCAAAATGGGACCTGACAGAGGCACACCTTTTGATCTTTAATGAGTAAACCACGTAAGCTTCGTTATCTTTTTCATAGTCGCCTTTTTTCATTAATTTTCTTCTTGAAGACGAAGAGTGCTATTTTAGTGCTGTTTCTGTTCCAAAAATTCTGTTCCTGAAAATTTAAACAAAGCAGTTGGTATACACTTCACTAGAACTCCACCCAGATAAATCATGCGAGTACATACGTATACTACTTCTCCCTAGTGAACGCAATAACGAACTGCATTCACTCAAATTTACATGCTGAAAGAGTCCAAAAATATAAATAAGGGGAACCACTCACACCGGCCAAGGGGATTTCCCGTCGGTCCCAACGATTTTAAACGGAAATATGTAAATATACATATACATTACAGAGCATAGACGCGCGACCTCGGATAATCAGGGTCTTTAGATTGCATCGGTTAATCCAGAGCTCTGATAATTGCGACTCGGATAATCGGGGTTCTACTGTACTATTGCATTTATTTATTTTTTTTTGAAAAAACGCACAATGTTTGTTAAATTGTAAGACAACGCCTCCTAGCGTCTAGGTTCAAAAGCTTATTATTATTGTTTATATGGTACAATATAGAGTAAGAAACGCTCTTTTAAACGAGCCCTCGTTTGTTGGATTCCGATCATCCAGTCCAGAGTTATTAATATTTAAATAAAAACAGATCTAACCTTCCCCCACCACTTTATTTTGGTAGATAGGGGAAAATGGCTCTAACAAAAAATATTCAAAATTTACTGAAGATTATGAAGCTATTACTTATAGTACACCTTATCTAGGCAAAATTGTGTAAAAACTCCATTTTCATATTTTTTGTTGCAGTTGCGCCCCCTAGCGGTTGTTCTACAAACTTGACAATAATTTCCAGCAATTTCTCATAGCCCCTTTAGTTACAAATATTTTTTTCCGTAAACCCTACGGCTAATAGTTTCCGAGATACAGCCGAGAGCTATTCTTAGTGGGACACCCGGTACAATAAAGCGTTTTAATTTAAAAAAAATATATTTTGTAGAATTATTAATTCTGAAAAATAAGAAAATGTTGTGAAATGAGGAAGAATAAATTCCAAGAAAAACTGCGAATATGAAACGGAACAACATTTCTGGGTTTACTTATAGTTAAGATTTCTACAAAGTCCTTACGAGATTATTTTATTTCTGTTAATACCATAATAATAAAAATAAATAATATAGATAAAAAAATATCGTCAACGAGATACAATATAATAATGAAAATATAAACCTAAGTCCGTTAACAGTACAGTTAAAATTGTTTAGATAAAACTTTAAGTGTAGCTATTGTCAAAAAGAACAATACAAATAAAGATAAATCTCGAAATATTTGCATTTATTTTAAATTTGTTTTAAAAACACAACAAAATGAAGTGATTATCTGAATTTTACTGAAAATTTGTAAAAATCACCCAACGAATTGAAAAATTATACCGTATGTCTACCTAAGTATTTTATTCTAGGAGCTACAGATATCCGACGCACTATTGCCGAACCCTGTATAGGAGTAATAATAATAAGTTTTTATTATCCATTTCAGACGCCTCTTCAATTAGCTGTCATTCACAATTCTTCGCCCGAGATTGTCGACGTTCTGCTTAACTTCGGAGCCGATGTTGGTGAAGCGGATGGAGAAGGAAACACCATTTTACACATGGGTGCCAGATTTGGTCGCCACCAAATTTTAAAAGTCATTCTGTCCCATCCTGTATTTAGTTCGGTTAACAATCGTCCCCTAATCGACAGTTTTAATTTTGACGGTAATATCTTCCTTCGTATAGTGTGAATATACCGATCTGGTCATCGGAATTGCGTGGCCTGGATTTTAACGTGTAAGACAGCGACGTAGACAGCTTAAATTAAAAATTAAATGTATTGAAAAGAGATAAAAGTTGGGTTGATACATTTCTTCTACGCGGTATTGCCGGATTTCGCATCAAAATTCAAACCGCACAAGTAGGCGTTTACGAAAAATGTTGCATCTAGGGTTGGAACCGTATTTTTCACAATTAGTTACTTATTTTACTACAGCTGTAATAGATTATATTTAGCTTAGATAATATTATCTTCATTTCAGTAGTATATGTCAAGGTTTTTAAAATTGTTTTTTTTTCTACCGCATTTTCCTACCCAAGTAGCATTTTCACGACTTGCGACCACATGTTTACTAATCACAACGTTGGATTAGTTACAAAAAATAGTTAGCTCCCTACCTTGGGTATTAAAATAAATTTAAACGTTTTTATAACGTTGTGCCGACGTTGGACTAGTACTACAGCAAAGTAGGAAGCTTCTGCGACGTCGAATAAACGTTGTCTTGTAACCTTTTTGCTTAAGTGATCTTTAGGTGATTCGGACAACGTAGTTACAACGTTGGACAATATAAAGTTTTCCGACGTCAGTTTCAGGACCTATTCCAACGTTATGCAAACGTCGTCTGTTTTACTAATTCCAACGTTGTTTAGATTTCCTTATTCTTACGTTGGTAGGACGTCGAGTCACTACCTTTTTGCAACTGTATTGAACCATAACCTTAAATCTTAAATTTTCACTTCATTGTTCTGTTCAGTCAGACAGTTCAGTGCTGTTTTTGTTTTTATAAAAAAAACTTAATTAAAATGGGACATAAGAAAGGTACATAAAAAACTAAATTTAAATATATATCGACATATATTACCGATAGTTTATCCACTCCCTCGTTTATTTAGATTATAGAGGGCGGCACAAGCTAGATTCTAGGATGACTAAATTAGGCAATCTTGCGACTAGTATACTACCTGTTAAGGCCGAACTGCGACTTTATTAGTCCAGTATGCGACTACTCGAACTACTCCATCTTAATCTCCAAAACAACAAAGTGAAAACCGCCATGTTGTTAAATAAGAAAATATTTCGTTCCTAAAATAGCAATTCCTGCTTTTTGAATCCATTAACTTGAAATATTTGACCCTAAAAAACACGCGGAAACAATTTTTTCGACTGCGAATAAATTATTTTCATTTTACTAAAAAAAAATTCAAGAAAATTTTTAAAACTTCTTTAATTTTAAGGCCCATTAGTATTTTTCAAAGTAGAAACAATACATTTATCAATAAAGTTGTTGGCGTTTAACTTTTTTGCCTTGGGTATCGAGTTACAGAGTCGGTTAAAGCGTTTCACTAATTATGATCTTCAAACATCCTCCACACTTAAATACTTTTCTTTTGTTTTCCTTCACTGCCATCTGACATATGTCTCTAACTAAATCGTAAAAATAATATTTTTACTATAATTATCCCAATTTAATATAAAACGCGACTTAGACGCCATATTAGTTTTGTATTTCTGTGAATTAGGATTTTAAACAACGTTGCAGTTTGTACTAAATTAGGCTTCTAGCCAACGTCGGTATCCAACGTCGTTTCGACCCAAAAATTATTCTCCAAACTAGTGCAGACTAGGGTTGGCACGAGGTTGTGCCGACGTTGCGCCCCGACGTTTGGTCACGTGACACAACGTTGTCCCGACGTCCAAATGCTGCTTGGGTACACACGTTAAAAACCGGCAACACTGTATGTAGGTTTTTATTTTTCCTCTGTCTGTCAACCGGTCATTTATATTTATTTATCTCTGTCGCATGCATTAAAATACAGACCACGCAGATGAACTGTCCAGGATGGTATATAACGGGTGCGTCTCAAAAGTGGCTCACCCCTATAACTTTTTTATTTGTTCAGATAAAAAAACGAGATTTTGTATATTCGTGTATGACATAAATTAGGATAGATTGACGTATTCAGTTGTTTTTGGTCACTCCCTGTTTCACCGGAAATGACTAAAACTTTTGATTTTTCAATGGCACCCTCGATATATTTCTACTTAATTCGATATAAAATGACACTCTGAATAGAATGACATATCATATGTCAACTTTTGACATTTTCGCATACGGTTTATTTAAAATTGCAACATGCGGTTCATAACGACAGTTTTACTCGAAATACCAAGTGTGTGGTATCAAATTATTCGTAAAAAAATGCTTTTCCTAAATATGCTAATGAGTCACCCTTGTTCCTTGGAAAAATTGAGATATGATTAAAACTACGATTTGGGCATCTTTTAACCGGCCAGGACAAGACACGAAAAACATTAGACCATCAAATCTATTTTTCCAAGGCTCCTTGATTAAAAATTAATGTTTTTAACACAGCTCTTGATTGAAATTTAAAACACGATTTGTTTTTAAACGAAAATGTCAAAAGTTGATACATTGATATGTCATTCTATTCAGAGTGTCATTTTACATCGAATAAAGTAAAATTATACCGAGGGTGCCATTAAAAATCAAAAGTTGTAGTCATTTCCGGTGAAACACGAAGTGATAAAAAACAATTGAATACGTCAATCAATCCTAATTTATTTCATATACATACTAACATACCAAATCTCGTTTTTTTTATTAGAAAAAATAAAAAAGTTATAGTGGTGACCCTTTTTCGAGACGCACCCGGTATATACATAGTGTGAACCAGCCATATGTGAATACTGTATGATCGAGAAAAAACGGCGTTAGCGTTGTCTGTGAAATGAAGATCGCTGTCATTTTATATGTTAATTTATATGGAAAATGTCATCGATCGTCATTTCCCAGCCAACCGGACGCCGTTTTTTTTTGATCATACGGTACTTATTCGAAATTCTTTTAGGATTGACACCGTTGATGATTTGTTGCTTGGCCAGTTGGACAGAGGGCGTTTATCTGTTCGTCAATCACAGAGCGGAAGTCAACCTAAGAGATCAGACGTCAGGACGCACAGCACTGTTTCATGCATCCGAAGCGCACAGTGGTAAGCTATGCCCACTGGGGTCAGAACCGGGAAATCCCAGTACTGAAAGGGAATTCCCGGTTGTTAACCGGGACTCGAAATTATTAATTCCCGGTTCTTTCGGTACTTTCGGGGCTCGGTAATAACCTTGTTTATATATTCTTAAAGTTGGTCAACCTCTCGACAAAATGTGCTGCCTCTGGTGAACAAATCGTAAAGCTTTAAAAGAATGAAGCATGTGATTAGGGGCGGAGTCAAAAATATCGATTATTTGCGGTATTTCCCTCAGAGTAATGTAATAATATAGCTGGGATTTTTGCGAACTATAATAGGGCTCAGCTGATTAAGAAATTTAAACAAAACTATTATTTCATTGTTGATTTTCGATTATTTTTACTGTTATTTTAAGGATTCTAAACCGTATTTAACAAAGAAATAACAATTTTCAATATGTTGGTACATTAATGCTAATTACTGGTAATTATTAATACTTAAAAAAAGTTACATACACTTACTTTATTTCGATTTGACCCAGGGCTATAAAATTTTATTTCATTCTTCGATCGTTTTATTCTAAATTGAGGTTTTACGTTTTTAAGATAATTTTTTTTTGAAAACAAAACGTTTATACATTCTTGATTAATTTTTTTCTTAATTAAAAATACAACTTGGCACTTGTTTCAATAATATTATTTGACATTTAAATAAATATTATGTACTTAATACACCATTTAAATCTTTATTACACGAAATAAATCTTTCTTAGCGTAAAACATGGTCAGAGTCAAATTTGCTTTAACTTTGTACCATATGAAAAAAAACGGCGTCCAGTTGGCAGGGAAATGACGATCGACGACATTTCCGACGGTCGACGATATTTCCCACATAAATTTACATATAAAATGACAGCGATCTTCATTTCATAGCCATCGCTGACGCCGTTTATTTTCGATCAAGAATTATAAAAACTGAAAATATCATTATGTTTTAACTCACAAAGCCCGTTAAACCATAAAACTTTCTAGTATATTGTTTTATTAGGAGTAAAAATGACACTTTTCACAAAAGTCATTTTTACTCCGAATAGAACATGCTATTTTTTCAAACGCCACAAATAATGTTTTAAACAATTTCAAACGTTCCAAATAATATAAAAATATTTAAAACTCATACCTTGTAAGTAATTATCATGATACAAAAAAACAAGGTATGATATTGCGCAGGTTGGTCACCACGTCACAGGTGATAAACGGCAATATTGGTCGGCAAGCTCCACGCGTCAATTTGACACATAATAAATGTGTATAATGTGTCATAACTTTTCAAATGTCCAGCTCGATGATTTTACATAACTTTAGGGGTTATTTAATTCTTCCCTATTTTAGGTCTTTTTTTATTAGTGGCAATTGAACAATACGGATATTTTGTTGTATGGCATATGACGTCACAGGCGATATGCGCAAACTGAACGAAATTGGAGACCCTATCGACCATACCTTGTTTTCAAGTTTTCTTTGTACCATGAGTAATTATATATCGAGAAACTATGGTTACGGCTCGTTGAATTTGAGACTTATGTCATTTTAATAATATATTTTCATACTTTTATGCTTAGGCGTAAAGTGCTTTACTTTTATGCCTAGGCGTTAAAATGACTTTTTTATATTGTCAATCACGTCGCAAAAATTAATACTTTTGTGACGTTTGAAAAAAAAATAATATTTTGAAACTAACTGGTATATTTTTCTGCCACAACAAAGTTATTATACAGTGATAAATGATAAGATCATATTGAAATACGCTACTGGGTAAAAAAAATTCATTAGGAATATATCTGCGTGTAGTGGTATTTTTTCTATAGATATCAAATTCCAGGCAATTATTAGTATTTCTAATAACTAATACATCTAGAAATGGTAATCTGTCGTTGTTCTCAATTTCATGTGTAAATTTAATGGAAGGAAAACGATTATTTAATTTAGAAATAAAATTATCTATGGTGTCTGAATGTGTGTCAAAAACAGCAAAAATATCATCCACATACCTAAACCATACTCTTGGAAAATACTCAAACTGATTCTTAGCTTCCACTTCAAACCTGCTCATGAATAAATTAGCCAAAAATGGAAACAATGGATTACCCATTGCTGTACCTTCCCGCTGTTCAAAAAAGTTGTTATTAAATTGAAAACAATTTTGTTTCATACATACCGATGTAAGCTCAATATATTCAATCACAGTTTTGTTGTCGAGACCAATTGCGTTCAGTAATTCCTTCAAGTAGCCCAAAGTATGTGGAATTGGAACACTTGGGAACAACGAAGATACATCAAAGGAGACCAAAATTTCACCTTCACGCAATGTTATATTTTTAATTTTATTAATGAATTCAATATTATTTTTAACTGAGAAAGAAGGTTCATGATTAGGTAAATTTTCGAACTCCCTTGATAACCATTTTGCCAAATTATAAGTCGGAGAACCTACAGCCGGTTTATGAATTTTTGGCAACGCATAGAATTTTGGTAATGAGGGATTGGATACTTGCAATTTTCTCTTTAAAGAAAAATCAATAAGGTTGTTGCATTCTTTTAAAGTTTTTTTAACATCTGTTACCATCTTAGACAAAGGATTCTTTTTCAAATTTATGTAAGGACCCCTATCGATTAAGTTTTTAACCTTATCGTAATAGTTTTTTTTTTATCCAATATAACAACTTTATTTCCCTTATCAGCTTTTAGGTAGAAACAATCTTTGTTTTGCAAACTCTTGACAATCTTGTGCTCATTGTTAGATTTTAATGATTTACTTGAAACGATATTTTTTGATAACTGATTTCTACAAGCCTCTCTTGTAAATAACTTTAGAAGCCTTGGGTAAGTGCTGAATAGCAGTTTCAACACCCACGACGATTTCCTCCAAAGCGCTACCAGAGTTGGGCAATGCAAACTTTAAACCTTTGTTTAATAAACTGAGCTCTTGTTTATCAAAAGTCTGCGAAGAAAGATTCTCTACAGTATATTTGCTGGATCTGTGTCTATAAAAGGAATGCGGACAAAAAACATTTAAATAAACAGCAATATATTTTATACGTCGACTTGACGAGTACGTCACCGCAAATCGCTCCGCCCACTCATTTTATTGGCCATTTGCAAATTTGTCGAATTTTTATTGATGGGACGCGTCGTCTAATTTTTTACGAAAAACTTCAAGGGGATATCGTTTCCCCTCTCACTGATACCCCGTAGCTACAGAACGGACAGACGTACTGTACTATGTTTATGTCTCTCTGGAAAACATGTTTGTTTTTAGAGCTTTTTAATTTTTTAAACTTATTATTCAAAATGGACATTTTCTTTTTGACAAATTTTGAATTGATAACCACAGACATATTCCTCTAAAAGAGACACCAACATTCATACTCTACATTAGTTAGCTTATAAGTAAGTTTTTTGTAAAGTCCATATGCTTCAATTTCAAGCATACTTCGTTTACTATACAGAAATTTGATTTCTAAATCAAGCCATTTTTGTTTTGCAATTTTCTCTACCTTATCACTAACGTTACTTTTTGGAATATCAACTTTAATAAAACTAGGATAAACTGGATTGGCTTTGCATGATTTAAGAAACCAAATATCTGCTCCTAATAACCTAATCTTAGTACTAAACTTACGATAAAGATTCAGTTCCGTTGACCGTGAAGCCATCGAAGATTACAGTTGAGGGTTGGAGCCTTTGATGTTACACAGCAAAATAAACACTAAATCACCACAATACACCAAAACACTTTTACTTTTACACTCGACGCGCGTTTCGCTAACCATGTTAGCATCATCAGCAGATGATTATACTTCTAACTGTTACGCTCGGTGGGTTCTGACTCGGTTGGCTAGATATTGCCACGCCCACTATGTGCCCACTGAGCGAGTATATAAACGCTCCAACTGTAGATTGTATTTTAGTTTATAATCATCTGCTGATGATGCTAACATGGTTAGCGAAACGCGCGTCCAGTGTAAAAGTAAAAGTGTTTTGGTGTATTGTGGTGATTTAGTGTTTATTTTGCTATATCTAATTGTTCTTGCTTCTTTTCTCTTTTGAAGTTCCTATAATATTTATTTTGTTATGTTTTAATAGATATTTGCATTTCTAATTCAATATTTTTTATCAAATTTTATGTTGTTTGATGTAAAATTTAGGTTACCTATATTTTTTCTTTACTTGTGTTTATGTTAATTTTTTCATGACTGATTACTGAATAATTTGATATTATTTTCATTAAAAATCTCAATTTTTTATCCATTTTAATTTGAAAAACCATCTCTTGCTTTCTGATTGATGAACTGTGCCCCACCATTGAACAAAAATTAGTCAGCACGAAAAAAAACGGGGAATCCCGCTACAGAAATTCCCGGTTCCGCAAACCCTAATGCCCATATATCAAATTTTAGTTTTATACATATTTTATATCGTTTTTATACTTTACATACATTTTGCTGGATAAACTTGAATAAATATTGTGGTTTTTGACACTGATGCATAAACACACGTGGGATTTTTTTTTATTATTTGTCAGTTTACTTATTATAAACTAAAATATTTTTTTTTGTTTGCAGAGGAAATCGTTCGGTTTTTACTAAATAACAGGGCGGATCCGAAAATAAAGAATTTCTTCGGTACCAGTCCCCACGATGCAATGTATGAATTAGACGAGATACCTTTTGAAATCAAAAATTTAATATTTGGAAAAACTAAGAAACGTACGATAGGTAAGTGCCTTTATTTTCAAACACGTACATATTTCTAATATTTTTTTATTTTCTTTTTGATTATTTCAGAAGCTGAGATGAACCCTGCAAGGACCGCAAAAGCTGTTAAAACCCTAAAAACCTTTTCCAAGTTACAAAAAGTGGAATCTAGTAGATCGGTTCTAGTGCCTATTATTAAGACCTACAATAAAACAAGTCAAGTGAAATAACGGTATGTATTATTATATATTTATACAGGGCGTTTCAAAAAACATGTGCCATCTCTGGTGGGGAGATTCCTCACGTAAAAATAAGATTTATTTTTCATATCAACATAGGTTGGATTCTGCTTTGTTTCGTAGCTATAGGCTGTTAAAGTCTTGCGTTATACAGGGTGTTTCAAAACAAATGCGAAAAACTTCAGGGGGTGATTCCTTGTTCAAAATAAAGGGTAGTTTGCTTTATAAACGTTGGGTCAAAAGTCAACCATTAGGGAGATATTGCGGTACAAAGATGGCGAAAAAATAATGTTTTTATTTTTATCTTGAAAACGAAAAGAGATAGACTAATGAAATTTTACGGAAGTATTACTGTTATGCAAAAACACTTTCTGGTAATTTTTTCACTTTTTTAAAATGAGTGGAAGGGGTTGAAATAAACTACCCCTATCATTCTTGTTAATGAAATTTAAAGAAAAATCTTATCAAAGACATGCAAAAAAAAATAATTTTAATAGTTTAGTTTATTTAGAAACTTTTTTATCTCTTGTGTTTTTTTGATAAAACTCACCGATTTGAAATTAAAAAATAAAATGTAAAGCATTACATGTCAGGACAAAAAACATTTTTAGCTAAAGAATCTAGTGGGCAGCTGTAATTTTTTTAGGAAAAAATCTAGTTGGCCGCTGTCACTTTTTAGGATGTTTCTAATATTGTTTTATTTGAGATTAATTTTTGATTTTTATTTTGGCAATACGTTATTATCTAGATTATTATTATCATTATTATCACTAGATTCTTAATCTAAAAATATTTTTAGTCGACATGTAATGTTTTACATTTTATTTTTTAATTTCAAATCGGTGAGTTTTATAAAAAAAAATACAAGAGATAAAAAAGTTTCTAAACAAACTAAACTATCCAAATTAATTTTTTTGCATGTGTTTGATAAGATTTGTCTTTAAATTTCGTTAACAAGAATGATAGGGGTAGTTTATTTCAACCCCTTCCACTTATTTTAAAAAAGTAAAAAAATTACCTGAAAGTGTGTTTTCATAACAGTAATGCTTCCATAAAATTTCATTAGTCTATCTCTTTTCGTTTTCAAGATAAAAAATAAAAACATTATTTTTCCGCCATCTTTGTACCGCGATATCTCCCTAATGGTTGACTTTTGACCCAACGTTTATAAAGCAAACTACCCTTTATTTTGAACAAGGAATCACCTCCTAAAGTTTTTCGCATTTGTTTTGAAACACCCTGTATATGATAGAGAGATGTATGATATGATAAAGAGATGAGAATTTTATTTGCTGGGGAACAGTAAGACTCAATATTTCGTGTTACATAATTTTTTTCAGACACAATAGGGAGATAGCAGATATTCGTCTTGCAGAAATAAGAAATAAAAATATACAGGGTTGTTCACCACATACGACACGGAGTATTGTAGCTAAACGATGAGATTTTTACAAATTGTAAGTTTTGGGTTCGATGAAGGACTATTAGAGGTACAATTTAAAAATAATTTTACAAGATACAGAGTGTCCCAAATAATTAAAAAATATCAAAGTTGTATTTTTTTAAATGAAACACCCTGTATATTATTACATTTTTAGTTTCTACGATTAAAATAAAGGTAAATTTGATTAAGGTTTATTATACTTAAACCTTGCAGTAAAAATTTTAAGGCTTCATTTCTCCAAGGGTATCAAAGTTTTTAATACTAAATATTTACTGAAGTTTATTTATTGATCAGTTATTGTGTTGCAATAATAAAAATAATACTACCTTATACAGAGTGTCTAAAAATTTATTTTAAATAATTATTAGCTTCAAACGGCAATAACTTGTTTAATTTAAACGGAACACCTTGTATATTTTACGAGAATCAGATGCACAATTTAATTGTCTATCAAATTATATTATACCATTTTTTACCTATCTCTTTAAGTTTCCATAGAAAATGCATTTTCTTGTAATTTAGAACTTATTTATCAATATACCCATGGAATATTGACATTTTAGATTATTTTTAAAGATGTACCAAATTTTTAAAGAGTACAGATACTAAAATTGTCGATATAATTTGTTTATTTTATTAAAAAATAAAAAAAAAATGTTTAAATATTTGTTAAAGGGGACCAATTAATATGATTCCAGTATTCAAACTACATTAACTGACTGTTTGCGTTGATTAATAATAATTGCTCCAAATACTAAAAAACTGAATTTTGTATGGGTATTAGACAGTGTGATAAAAAGAAACACCTTAAAAATGATTTTTTAATAAATACTTATTTATAACAACAGAGACTTTAATTTTGATAACTTATTATTATATTGATTTCTGACTCAAATCCACATTTATTTAGAATAATTTATTAATGAACACAATTAAGTATGTAATTAATTAGTATATGGGCGGAAATAATGGTGTTATATTTAATTAATGGTATACTCTTTTATAAAGATTTAAATAGTTTTCTTTTTGCATACAAATGGGCTAGTAATATTATCGTTTTGCTAAAAACGATAATATTACTAGCCTGTACATTTTTGTACATTTGTTGCTTTAAAAACAATCTAAAATGTCAATATTCCATGGGTATATTGATAAATAGGGTCTAAATTATAAGAAAATACATTTTCTACGAAAACTTGAAGGGATAGGTAAAAAATGGTATAATACAATTTGATAGACAATTAAATTGTGCATCTGATTCTCCTAAAATATTCAGGGCGTCCCATTTAAATTAAAGAAGTTATTGGCGTTTAAAGCTAGAAATTATTTAAAATAAATTTTTAGACACTCTGTATAAGGTAGTATTATTTTTATTATTGCAACACAATAACTGATTAATATGTAAACTTCAGTAAATATTTAGTATTAAAAACATTGATACCCTTGGAGAAATGAAGCCTTAAAATTTTTACTGCAATTTCCCAAAATTGAAAATATTTCAAAAACGGTAAGGTTTAAGTATAATAAACCTTCATCGAACCCAAAACTTGAAATTTGTAAAAATATAATCGTTTAGCTACAATACTCCGTGTCGTATGTGGTGAACAACCCTGTAGTTCTGGAGATAGCAACCTTTATTGTTTGAAATTTTGAAAATGGAATTGAATATTACCCAAACAGATTTAGAAATAATGAATTAAATTTAAAAAATATGATATTCATAACCATATATTTAGAATATCGTCGGTCTAGAAGCAAAACATACCAGTCCAAAAACGAATAAATTTTTAAAGAACTGAAGTAGCAGCATTTTGGACTTAATGAATATGAAAATAATTTAAAAATTAAACTTATACTTTTTGGAAGATATGGTAGAATCCTTCCATGCTTATCTTAATTTTTATATAACGGTAGTAGACCGAGCTTGAAAAACTGCGTGATTTTATTAAATTTTTATTACTTTTCTCCTTATTTTTTTAATTTTTATAAAAATTATGTATCATTTACGTGGAAAAACGTTGAAAAAAATTAAACTGATTAGGTATTATGGAAATTCTTGTACAACTAAGTAATGTTATTTACATACATTATTATTATTTAAACTACGAATAGCACGCCTATGAATTGCTCATATATAGAGAATTTCGTTCATTATTTATTCTTAACAATATTTGCTTTTGCATTGCATTGGTTTACCTTGCATTAGGGTAGTTCCCTGATTTCTATACAGGGTGAGTCTTACATAAGTGCAAATATTTTCAGGGCTGGTAAATCTCGATAAAAGAAACATAATATTTTCTCTTTATCGTTTTTTCAAATAAATCCAAAACAACCGAGTTATTTCACTTTTAAAATTTCCAATTTTTTAATAAAAAAATAGTTATAAAATAAAATTGAACTCATAATACATATCTATTTTTGATACAACGTTCCCCAAAAATAAATTCTTGAGCATTCTTCGTCGCTAGGTGCTCTACAAAATACATAGCTGTTTTTCAAGAATTAAGATTTTAATGTTTTTTTTCTTTTGATTCTAGAAATTTCCAACGTTGTTGAAGAAGATGAAAATACATGAGGCTCAAGAAGAACGAGCCACTGGAGTGGATTGAGTGTGGTATAAGATCTTGCCATAAAATGAAGAATTTTAGAAAATGCGAGAGCCATGAAAAGTAAACCGAATTCAAAATCTTCTTATCTGCTACAATAGAACAACTATTAAACTGCGTTCAGATTCTCGAAATTACTGGTTTCAATTAGCGTAGAAGTTTGTTAAAATTAGTGGTAGTAATTATCAATTAATAGAAAAAGTTAACAAACTTTTTCCCGCTAATTATACTTCAAAATTTACGAGCCTTGTCATTTTGGCCTTTGATTATATCATACCTACGTCAAATTGAAAATCAAAAAAAAATCATCCGTAGTTGGAAATGACAAGAATAGTTCGATTCATATACTTCCTATACTGTCAGTTTTTTGACGTCATCTAGGGACCTAGTTGAATTTCGCGAAGATTTTAGATAGTGACAGCAAGTGACAGTGACGTTTTCGTTTGACCTATCCTAGAAACGGCGTATCGGCGTAACGAACCTTTAATAGATTTCCAGTAATTCTATTGGCTGAAATTTTTGACAGATGAATTTTTCAGCCAATAGAATTGCTGGAAATCGATTCAAGGCCGTTACGCTGTTTCTAGGATAGTGTGACTGCACCCTGAGTAACATAAGAAACGATTTGACGCGATCGAACAGTCCTTTAGAATATACAGGGTGGTCCGAACTGTATTCCGGAAATTTCAGCAGCATATTCTGCAGATAAAAATAAGCGAAAAAGTTCGTATAAATGTATGTACAGAAATGCTTAATTTCGGAGATACAGGGTGTAGAAATATCATTTTTATTTCGATTTTTTCCAAATAATTTCTGAAATAACGCTAATATCTGGATGAAATTTTTTTTGACATGAGAAATTTGATTTTGATGTCAATATGACACCTAATTGTAGGGAGCGCCACCTACATGCGTTTTAACTGTTTCGAAGAGTAATAACTTTTTGTCTGTATCTGTATAAACAAGTGAAAAAATATACATTTCCATGATTTCTCACATAAAAAATGTCTCTTGGTAAAAATAGCTACGAGTAACTGTTCTCGAAATATTTAGAATGGAAATAGTTAATACATATAATTATTAACAAAAAATAAACATGCTGAGTAGATAGTTATTTGACGGAAATGATAAATTTGGAAACTTTTTAATTTTTTAAATTAATCATAAATTTTTCTTCCAAAAAATTATGATAAAACAGTTTCTGTTGAACTTTTGGCAGAAAATCATTTCAAATTTATGATTTCATTCTAATATAGTCTATAAAATGAATAACTTTGAATTTTGACCGTTATTTTTTACCAGCATAGCAAATATAAAATCCCTCTATCCAAAAAGTTACTGATATTCTTTAAAATGAGTGCCTGCACGAATCAGATAGGTAACTCTTTTTACTTTCGTGAAATAGAAAAGGAAAATAATAAAACAAGTGACAGTTCTTCCTCTTGTAAAAATTAACGCGAAATGCCATAATTGACAAAAGTAAAATAATCTAAATATTAGACCAATGCCGCCTCTAATAGAACAGCCACGGAGCGAGATTTATGACTTCACGCTAGTTAGATACCACGGATTAATAAATATGTTGTAGAATACATGGAAAACATAATTATTCCTCGTATTTTTGGTTTGTATTTTAAAATGATATAGTTTACATGAAATATACATAATATAAGTTAATAAATACAATATATACCTATTTATAGTAATAAATATTTTGACAAATAAACTGTGAACCATACAAATGCAGCAAATGTTTTACAATATACAAATAATGAATAGGTAATAGGTACATAAGATAATGTGTAAAATGTAAAATATATTTTAATTTTTGGGGTTTGAAAATCGATCTAATTTAACAAAAAAACATTCAATATCTACTAGTGATATATTATTATTTGCATTCACAATATTTATATGTATATTTTGCAAGCATCAATGTTCAAAAAATAATATTTGCAAATAATACAATATCATAGAAAAGAAGGCGTCAGCGATGGCTATGAATAAAGATCGCTGTCATTTTATATGTAAAATTATTCTAAAATTTTTGATTTTCTTGGGATTTAGGTTCGGGAAAAACGCTGATTAAGTTTTCATTTCGTTTTTCATTATTTTTTTTGGTTTAAAAAAACTTTACAGCTAACGTTTATAGCCTTCATCAGTGTTGTGTCATATGAAAAAAATAGTGTCGAATATAATCCAAAAAATTACATATACGAGGAATAATTATGTTTTCCATGTATTCTACAACATAATTAATCAGTACTATCTAATTAGCGTGGCGTCATAAATCTCGCTCCGAGGCTGTTCTATTAGAGACGGCATTGCAACAGCATGGCCGCAAGTTGCTAACCTAATAAAATTTACACTAGAAAAGCCCGCGGGAACTGTCAAATTCAAAGTTATTCGTTTCACAGAATATAACAACTATTTAGTCAATTATGTCAATGATGACAGGTATTGATTTCAATTCCAAGTATCTCGAGAATCATTACTGGTACCTAGCGATTTTTACCCAGAGTTTTTTTACGTAAAAAATGTTGTAAATATATACTTTTTAACTCAGTAGTTTTATACAGGTACAGACAAAAAGTTATTACTCTTCGAACCAGTTAAAAAATATGTAGGTGGCGTCCTCTACAAGTAGGAGTCATATTGACATCAAAATCAAATTTTTCATGTCAAAGCACCAATTTTCATCCAAATATCGATATTAGTCATGATGCACAAGGTATGATATTGCGCAGGTTGGTCACTACGTCACAGGTGATAAACGGCACCATTGGTCGGCAAGCTCTGCGCGCCAATTTCAAATTGTCAAACAGATTGTGTCATCTGTGAAATTTGATTGTGTCAAAATGTGAAAATAATTTTTCAAATGTCAAGCTCGATGTCAAAACATAACTTTTGGGGTTATGTCCTAATTCTTCCCGTATGGCGTATGACGTCACAGGTGGTATGCGCAAACTTAACGATATTGGAGCCGCTATCGATCATACCTTGTTTTCTTAGTACCATGGATATTAGTTAAGAAATTATTTGGAAAAAATCGAAATAAAAATGAAACTTCTACACTCTGTATCTTTCAAACTAAGCATTTTATGAGACATACATTTATACAAACTTTTTTACTTATTTTTATCTGCAGAATATTTATTGCTGCCGAAGGAATACAGTTCGGACCACCCTGTATATAGTCCTTGGGAAATAAAAAGTTTATTGTTTTATAACCTAATTATTTGGCTTTCTCTATGGATACAACTGACTATACCGCAAGCTGTTGCTAGGATATTTTATTAATTTTAATCCATGTATTTTTTTAATCCATTGCGAATGATCGTAAATTTTTAAGTGTAAATTATAATTGAAACCAATAATTTTGCTTTAAATTTTGAGAATGTAATATTTGCTAGACGGTAGGTTATGTTCTTTAGCGGTAAAGATATCAATAAGTACTACAAGTTTTCAATTGTATTATATTTGTTTGATTATTTTGAAAGGAGTTAGATAGTCTACAAAATGAATAACTTTGAATTTTGACCGTTATTTTTTACCAACATGGCAAATATAAAATCCCTCTGTCAAAAAAGTTACTGATATTCTTTAAGTATTCTTTAAATTGAGTGCCTGAACGAATCAGATAGGTAACTCTTTTTACTTTCGTGAAATAGAAAAGGAAAATAATAAAACAAGTGACAGTTCTTCCTCTTCTTGCAAAAATCAACACGAAATTGCATAATTGTCAAAAGTAAAATTTCATCAGCTTTTGACATTTTTAAATACAGACTAATGCCGTCTCTAATAGAACAACCTCGGAGCGAGATTTATGACGTCACGCTAATTAGATACGGATTAATAAATATGTTGTAGAATACATAGAAAACATAATTGTTATTCCTCGTATTTTTGGTTTGTATTTTAAAAATGATATAGTTTACATGAAATATACATAATATACAGTTAATAAATATAATATATACCTATTTATAGTAATAAATAGGTATATTATATTTTGGCAAATGAACTATAAACCATACAAATGCAGCAAATGTTTTACAATATACAAATAATGAATAGGTACATAAGATAATGGGTAAAATGTAAAATATATTTTAAATTTTGGGGTTTGAAAATCGATCTAATTTAACAAAAAACATTCAATATATGTATACTAATAGTGATAAATAATAATTATTGTAAAATTTTTGATTTTCTTGGGATTTAGGTTCGGAAAAAACGCTGATTAAGTTTTCATTTGGGTTTTCATTATTTTTTTTTTTGGTTTAAAAAACACGTTTCGGCTAACATTATAGCCTTCATCAGTGTTGTGTCATATAAAAAAATAGTGTCGAATATAATCCAAAAATTTACATATAAAATATTCACACCACAAACCACATAATGTTTACTGCAATTAATAAACTAATATAAACTTGTCAAAAGCTGACCACATATTTCTTAAAATTATTATTCTTAACACTAAAACTATCTACATTGACTATGGAGTACGATTTCAGCCATATAAGGAATAATTATGTTAGCGTGACGTCATAAATCTCGCTCCGAGGCTGTTCTATTAGAGACGGCATTGCGTCAGCATGGCCGCAAGTTGCTAACCTAATAAAATTAACACTAGAAAATCCCGCGGGAACTGTCAAATTCAAAGTTATTCGTTTCACAGACTATAACAACGTCTAATATAGTTTATTAACATTTAATTAGTTATAATAACTTCTAAAACTGAAGCCTTCTATCAACTGATTATTTTCCATATTATTGATTTGCAATTTCTTGTTTTGAAAGTTATATTAATTATACAGGGTCCGGCAATAGTGCGTCGGGCATCTGTAGCTCATAGAATAAAAAAAACTTGGTAATTTTCTTTAAGCGTAAACTTAAAGTATGTACGAGGATGGTATTTCAGGAAGATAGTTCGCCTTCTACAGGATGGCTCAAAAAAGTGCGAGTGGAAGAAAGAAAAATTATTTTATATTTTACAAATTTTTACGTAGAAACACTCTGTATGATTTAAGATCAAGATATTTATAGCAGAATAAGTATAGACCATCTAAAGTAAACACCTAGTATAGATTTGATTTTAAGACAGGTTCTTGTATTTGTAATATTTTTTTTAGGAATGTTGAAAAATATATATTTTTTTTATTTATTAATATCTCTGAAATTATCGAAATATATTTACTCATATCTTGGGATTATGTAAAGTGATCAGAAAGGAAGCCAAAAATGCAATGATATACAGGGTGTTTCATTTAAAAAAAAATCATCCTGATCCACTCACACTTTTTTGAGCCAACTTATAGAAGTTAGAATAAAAAACTTGGAAATGTGCAAATATAAAGTATATACGAAGATATATTTCATGAAAATATTTAGCTAGAGATGCCCGACGCACTATTGCCGGACCCTGTATATGCAAATCACTGGGAATAATATTACAATAATCGTAAAAGTTAAATTAATTATTTCACAATCTAGAATATATTGATTTGGCATATTTATTTGTAATTTTATTTTGTAAAATATTTTGTTAATTAGTTTCGATTAGTGTTAAGTTTAGCCTACGTCAGGTTTAGTCTTGCCCAGACACTGTGGAACATTTTGAATTGACTCATTGTTTATTTATTTATACAGTATGTCTTTAACAAATTTTGAAAATTGCATGCTTTATTAAAAATTTTCTTGT